GTGTCCACGCCAGGGAGGTGTTCCTGCAGGAGCCGGACGTGTCCTTGGCTCTGCTGGGAGCCCCAGGCAGAGCTGTGCCCCCGGGCTGCTCTCTGGGCGCTGTCCGGGACCCCTTTGTCCCAGTGGAGCTTAAGCTTGAACTGGGTTCTCTTCCAGGGTGTGTGTGTTTAATCACTCATCCTTTTTAATTCTTCTAATTACTTCCTCTTAGTTACCTTCTCTGCTTTGAAATGACAAAAGAAACTCATGAAGAAATAGTATAATTAAGATTAGTTCCGTTGTAGGCAAGGAATTGGGGCAATATTTCCCCCGGGTGAATATCTTGATATTAAGGTCAGCTCCCAAAGAAAGGCTGGTTCAGTTAAAAACAAACAAATTTTAAAAAGACAGACCGCTAAGATAGGTGATGCAGAGGCTAAAATTCCCGTCAGAGACCCCGGTCCTCCCTCCCGTGACTGCAGCATCGCCGAGCAGCTAGTCTCGCCCTGAGGCCCAGCTCTTACCGGACGCAGGGCCTGAGCCCAGCTGTGCCGACGAGGGCTCCGCAGGGGCACAGGTAGGAGGGCCTTTCCTGCAGCCGCTCCAAGTGCCGCCTCAGCAAGCGCTGCGTTTCCTAGAAAGAACGGCTAGAGGAGAGCGAGCCCAGGTCTGCGGCGCGAATCTTTAAATCCCATTTTTATCCGTCTGCCTCTTACGGACGCCGTCTCACCGAGGAGTCTTCCTGCTGGAGCTCGGCCTCCTCAGGATGCTCTGCTGTTCACAGCTTGCCACTCCCTCCTCCTCCTGCACACGGGAGCAGGTACGGCCGTGGGGTCGCCCTCCCTCGAAAAGGCAGAGTCCGCCCGGCCTGTTAGGACCATTAGCACCCCTCCTCCTCCCTCCTGGGAACCTCACACTCAGGAAATCGTGTCTCAGAAGCTCTTCCCACTCCCTGAAAGCCAGTTCACCAGCACCCAGGACAGAAGCCGACCGTCTCTCCACCTCCGCGTCCCCTGGCGGTGCGACCGCACGCTGCCCACGGCCTGTCTTCCCGCCCCCACCCATCCGTGCGCCTCCCTGGCCGCCACTCCTGATGCCCCGCGATGCTCCTCACTCGGTGTCACAGGCACTTCCTGCCAAAGACCAGACTGGTGGGCTGATTCTCACGCATCTCTCACCGCGTTCTGCCCATGGTTAGAGCACGCGCTGTAGGCCCGGCTCTGAGCTCGGTGCTGTCCTTCCTGTTAAAGCCGTGGGCTGATGCCGGCCAACAGGGACATAGCGGGAGCCATGGGATCAACATGAAGCGTTAACTTCTTTGAACAAAGTCTTTAAAGTCCAGTGTGTACGCCGCACGCCAGCACCTCTCACCCCCTGAGCCGCGCTCCAGGGGCGCAGGAGCGGCTGCCCTCTGCTGGACCGCGGAGCCGGAAAGGCCTCCCGGGACTCGGATTCGCTCCTAACGGGTCAGGGGGACGTTATTGAAAGAAACAGGCCTGTCCACCCTCCTCACGCTCTTTATGCTCCTCAATCCAGCAATCGGGATGTTCCTTCCTTTTCCAGCGGTTTTCTTTTCCAGCCCTGAATTAAATTAGTTTTGAGAGCATGCCATTCTCTGAACGGTCAGGCGTGTGGCTTCTGAGTTTCTTGGCCCCTACAGTAACTGTTTCCTCTGGGTTTTAACCTGGGCCTCGGGAAGGCTGTCTTGAATATTGAAAGGCTCACGTTCTTCAAACCAAGATGCGCGCGCTTACGCGGACTTCTGGGTGCGCCTCGTCCGCGAGGGCTGAGCTTCGCACCAGGGCCCTCCACACACTCAGAAGCGTTGCCCTGTGTCACCTTCTAAGTCGGGGACTCGAAGGGTCTCGTCCAGGAGAAGCACCTGGGAGCTGGGGGGCTTGACCTTCCAGCATCAGGGGCCGTGGGGAGGGCAGGAGGGGCTTTCCCTGCTGGGGAGGCTGAGGCCGGTGTGGGGGTTTGCTACCACCCGGGGCCTATCGGGCGGGTGGCGCGTGGCACGTGTCCTGATCGGGCCCAGAGAGCGAGAGCCCCACTGGCAAAGGCCTGAGGTAAGGCAGACCTGTACCCAACTCGGGGAAGGCCTTGGACCCCAGGACCGGTGTCCGCAGGGAAACGTGCTCCTCGAGAAACCCTGCTCTTCCTCTCTGGACGTTGTGGGGGGACTCGGGGGCCGGGGGGCCTGTGTGTCACCATTCCCGGGACCCTCTGCTGATGTCCTTTCTCTTCCCTTCCCTTTCGTAACAGTTAGAGCAGCAGAGGCAGCAGCTGCTCACTGAACGCCAGAGCTTCCACATGGAGCAGCTGAAATACGCGGAGTTGCGAGCCCGCCAGCAAATGGAGCAGCAGCACGGGCAGAACCCTGCCCAGGGCCACCAGCACCCGGGGGGCGCGGGCCTGGCGCCGCTGGGAGCAGCAGGGCACCCCGGCTCCCTCTGATGCAGCACCAGATGCCGCCGCCCCACCCGCCCCAGCCAGGTGAGAGGAGGCTCTGCCCGCAGGAAATGGCCGCCCAGGAGATGGGGCGTGGTAGCCATGGTCCCTCAGGCCTGCCATGTGCCCCCGGAGTCTCTGGCATGATGCCTTTCTCCAGGCAGCTCGGCCTGGGCGGTCGGTGTGTCCCCGAATGCCTTACCTGCATTCTTGGGTGGTCTACGCTTTTTTTTAAACTTAAAGACGTTTTTAAAACTAGACAAACACAAAGGATGGTACAGTGAGCTCTGACCCAGCTCTCTCAGCCATCACCTTCCGACATTTTTAACGTTTCATCGGGAGCCGTTCAGCTGTAGACACGAGCAGAGCGGAGCGTGAGGGCCCCCAGCACCTCCGGGCTGCCTCACAGTTACCGACGTTTTAGGGGTTCCTCCTCCCTTTGGGGTGAGAGACAGGCTTCAAACGTATCTCTAGCCACCGGAAACCTTATCTGCAACATAACCCACCATCACACAGGAAAGGGGCTCAGGTGCCTCCTGTCATTGCCGTCTGAATGCTTCCTGTTGGACTCGGTGTGCAGACAAGTCCAGGGTCCCATCTGCTGACAGTTCTCAGATCTGTTAGCCGTTCCCCCTCCTCTTTTTGTGGTGCCATTCGCGCATCTGCCTGGTTGTGCTGTGTCCTCTCCCCCCCCTTCCCCCCCCCCCGCACGGGGCTGGCACTGGCCTGTGATGTCGGTGAGGCTGCTACTGACAGTGAGATCGGACCTGGCGCCGGGCTGCTCAGCTGAGCTGCCCCCGCGCTGGCCTCATGGCCGCTTCCGGGTCGTTGGGGTCGCAGCATGGCGAGGCTTCTAGTGGTGGTTCCTTCTGCACTTCTTAGCGGCGATTCTTTTATTTAAAAAGCCAAAAACCTTTCTTTATCGTTCGTTATCCTGGAACTCGGTCCTTACAGGAAATTCTGGGCAAACGCCTCATTCTCTCCCTTTGTCAGGTATTTGAAAGAAGAACTACTACCCCCCCCACCCCCCAATCTCCTAAGAGGACATGTCATGGGTTTTGCATTGTGTGTGTATGTTTTTAGTGTTGTGGTTTTTTGTGTGTTTTACGTGTTTCAGTCTGCTGTGGGCATTATTCTTTTTGATCCTCAAATTGTCACCTTATGGGAGCCTTTTCGAGTTGGCAACTCTTCACCACATTTTAACCTTGAAAGTTAAACTCACAACTCTTTCAACTTAACTACCAACGTCATTAGAACTGAACTGTCCTTTTAATTCCAGCTTTTTCATCCCCGGCATTTCCCCTCGGAGAGCAGTGTGTCTGGTCTGCTCTGTGGCTCTAATAGCCGTCCTCCTGTGGGTTTAAATGCCCGAGGACGGCTTCCTGGGTGGGTGCAGACTCTTCAGCCACGGCCTGGAAAGGGGAGCGAAGGGGAACAGACCCTGGGAGCCCTCATGCTCCTCAGGCCCCTCCCTCGCGAGGGCCGCCGTCCTGATCCTGACATCACCGCTCCCGGTGGAACCACAGCGCGTTTGCGTGTGCCAGGCTCGCTGCGCTGCGTGTGAGGTGCGGTCACCTTAGGAGTGGTTGCCTCTCCTGTTGGTCCCGTGTCCACTGTGGGGGCCCCCGTTCACTCGTCCTGTTGACGATCAGTGTTCCGAAGTGCACGTCCGCGTGTCTGGGGACAGAGGGACACGTTTTTGTTGTGTGCCCCGCGCTGCGGTCCGGTGCTCCTGGGACGGCCGTCGGGCATGCACATGTCCGCACTAGGAGGTGCTGCAGTTGCCCCGACGTGGGCGTCCAGCTCTCACTCTCTCCCAGCTCCAGGCGGTCACTGTTGGTAGTTGCCCCTTGCTTGGCGTTGCGTGGAGTTTGAGTGTGAAATGAAGTCAAGTGTGTTAGTAAAATCAAGAACAATAATAAATTAAACCCTTAATTAGTTCAGAGTTGCCTAGAAGGTGCCAGTTCGGAAAAGGCTGGTTTCGCAAGCAAGGGGTAGGAGAGGGGCTCCGTGTGCTGGGGTCCCTCCGCCGAACGTGTCCTGGGCTCTGGAAGGTTAGGCCACAGCCTCTGGCAGGAGCTGAGCATGCGCCCGGGCCTGCTGGCCAGCGTGGAGGCCTGAGGCTCCCTGGTCTGCGATGGAGGGGGAATCAGCCTCCGCAAGCCAGCCAGGTGGGCGAGGGGGTGAGCAGCTCGAGACAGATTCACGGACAGTGGTCAGTCGGTCCAGCCTCTAAGACTCTTGGCATTTATGTCATCGTGTGGATGGACCGCCTTTCCTCCTGGCCGTTAAAACAGCGCCGGGTGGTGCACCTGCCGCTGCCACACGCCAGGGGACTGGCATAAGCTGACGCGTGTCTGTGCTGCGTGTCGTGTGTCCTCTGTGGCCCTCCGTCCCACCTCCCGAATCCATGGGCTGCGGAGGGCTGTGTGTGGGGAGCGTGCGGGGAGCTGCGGTCATCCCTGGTCCTGCTCCTGACCCGCCTGAGCGTCAGCCTTCCCTGGGCTTCTCCCCAGGCAGCTGGTTTCTACCAACAAAAGGCAGAGGATGACCCTTGGGGATGTTTTTCGTGTCGTTTGGCAGACGGAAGCTGGAGGGGCCACGGCCACCCTTGGGTTTTTTGTTTCAGTTGTAGAGCAGGTGGCTTCACAGAGCGGGCCCTTGCGTGGACTGCTGCTCCGCTGGCACAGGTGCATAGGCAGGGGGCACGGTCCTGGTGGCCTGGTAGCGGCTGCTGCTTCCTGGGTGCCCTTGATTTGGCTGCCTCTCGAACAAGAGGTGGCCTGACTGCTGGGCGTCCCTCTCAGGTCAGGCGGTCAGTCCTCCACAGGCCTCGGCACCTGTTTAAGGGAGCGTAACTCTCAGTGGGTGGGGCCGAGGGAAGCGTGGTGAGCAGGGGAGCCGAGCCTGCGGGCATTCAGGCGGGAGCCGGGATCCTGTGAGCTGTGGCGTCAGGGCCTCGTGGGGGGACGGGGGGACAGTGGCTTAGGCAGCCTCAGGGCTTCTTGTTGCTTGGGTGGAAGAGGTTAGAAGTCAGGACAGGCTGATCTGACCTGGTGGAAACTGAGACGCGGCAGAGAAGATGTGTTAGTGACGGAACCAGGGCATTGGCATCACTGGGTTGAACGATGGTTGTTCAGGAAAATGTGACCAAGGCGTTGGCGCTCGGCCTTCAGGCCCCGAGGTGGGCCCGCTTACACCGGCCGCCCGCCCGTGGGAAGGATAGCAGGGGAGGTAACGCCACCATCGCCACCCACCACCACCACCGTGGCCTCGGCCCCACACGGAGGCCCAGGAAGACCAGCTCCCCGGCAGCCCGGGTTTTATCTGCTGTCATGTGACAGCAGGGCTGCCGGGCCGCCTTCCGGGGTAGCAGGTTCCCTCACAAAGAGCGCAGTGAGGGCCCTGGCGCCCCGGAAGCCG